GAATCCATAGCAGTTCTCCACTTTGCACTTTTCACAGCCTCTTCAAAATAAAGAGGATCTGCAGATGCAAACAATGCTAAATTGGTCTCATCTTCTTCTTCAGACAGACCCTCACCCGTTTCATAATCTCTCATCCAAACAGGTGGCCTCCTAACTCTCCCTTCAATGGAACTAAGTGAACCCTCTTCTTCTACCAGATTTGGAGAATCAGCTGCAACCTCTTCAGCACTACTTCCATCTTCAATCTCGGCCTCATCTTCATTATTTGCAGCAGCATTTTTCTCATTGTCTCCCCATTCCAACACAGCTACCACCTGTTCTTCATAGCTCTTATCCCAATCCCAAGATTTTTCTTCTTCGAAAACTACATCCCTGCTAATTACAATCTTCTTGGCTATTGGATCATAGAGCCTATAAGCTTTAGATTCTTCACTAACTCCCAACAACACACAAGTGAAACTTTTGTCTTTCAACTTGGTTCTCTTGACATCAGGTACATGAACATGTGAGATACAACCAAACACTCGAAAATGTTCAACCGAAGGCTTGACTCCACTCCAACTTCCTCCGGAGTTATGTTCTTCACTGCTAGAGTAGGACTTCGATTTAGAATATGCACTATCCAATTCACAACTTCTGGCCAAAAAGTCTTTGGAGTTTTCTTCTCCGAAAGCATACTTCGAACCATGTTCATGATGGCCCGGTTCTTCCTCTCTGCAACTCCGTTCTGTTGCGGAGTGTAAGCTGCTGTCAATTGCCTCTTGATGCCATTTTCTTTACAAAATTCATCAAATTCCTGTGAAGTGAACTTACCCCCTCGATCAGTACGCAAACACTTAATATATGAACCTGTTTCCTTCTCAAAACAACTTTTATATTGTTTAAAGATAACTAAAGCTTCAGATTTTTCGACCAAGAAGTAAATCCATACCTTTCGACTAAAATCATCAATGAAGCTAATTAGGTACCTCTTTTTKCTATTTGAGATTGGTGTGATAGGGCCACATATGTCAGCATGGATGAGTTGAAGTTTCGAAGATGCTCTCCAAGTGTTTTTCTTTGGAATTGGATCTCTATGCTGCTTTCCAACCATGCAATCAGTGCACACAATTTTTGAGGCCTCGAATTGTGGTAGTCCATTCACCATCTTTTTGTTTTGAAGAGTCCTCAATCCTTTATGACTCAAGGTCCATATCGGCAGTGCCAGAGATGTGATAAGTCTTGTGTGGCTGTGTGAAAGCAAGCTGGTTTCTTTGGTTGCGACGCAACCAACAAGGTAAACATTCTATTGGCAGACATCTCTGCTTAAATTATCAAGCCCTTCTCAGGATGATAGACTTTACACTTGCCGTGTTGAATAAGAATTGCTAAACCTTTCTCCTGCAGCTGCCCAATGCTCAATAAATTGTTCTTCAGTTCAGGCACATAAAATACCTCAGTGACTATATGATTGAGTCCATTCATTTTCAGCTTTATATTACCCTTCCCCATCACTGTCATTTTTGAGTTATTTCCCAACTTCACCATTTGCCTGAAGCTTTCAGTAAAGTCGCAGAAGAGAGCTTTGTCTCCACACATATGGTTATACAGCCCGAATCTAAGAACCAAACATCCTCCCTTTTTGCTTCATTTGTTTCAACATAGGACATTAACAACATCACTTCTTCTTCTCCTCAGCATAATTGGCCTCTCTGTCCCAACTTGGGCATTCATATTGAAAATGTCCAAGTTTGTGACACTTGTAGCATTCTATAGTAGCTTTGTTAAAGGATTGGCGTCCTCTGCCTCTGCCTCTTCCTCGAAAGGATCCGCGACCACGACCTCTTCCCCATGTACTTTCTTCATGAGTTACCTTTAGTGCCTGCTCTTCTCCTTTGTGCCTATGGAACTTCTGCTTGTGAACAATTAAGGAACTTTGCAGTTCATCAATTGATAGGCGATCAATGTCCTTTGACTCTTCAATTGAGCAAACAATATAATTGAATTTTTCGCTTAATGATCGAAGTATCTTTTCTACTATTGTAACATCTCTCATTTGTTCACCATGAACTCTCATCTTATTGGCAACAAACATCACTCTTGAGAAATAATCAGAGACACCTTCACCAGATTTCATTTCAAGAGTTTCAAACTCTTTGCGAAGAGCTTGAAGAATGGA